TTCTTCAAATATCCAGCTGCCCCTTTTGTCTCATCGTCTGTCTCATCTACACCTTGCCTTATTTCCTCTTTCTATAGACAAAGCAATACCTCCAGGGAAAGTATCTGTAAGTGAAGGTTTGCTTTTGAAAATGAACCCTTCTTATTGAATCAAATGGAGCATGGACTCTGGGAGGAAGGCAGGGAAAGGTCAGCAGACTGAGAAGATTTAATGAATATTGAATCCAACACTACTCACTCTCTCTTTCTCACACACACACACACACACACACACACACACACACACACACACACAGCCAAGACCCGAAGACCTTAAATGTTTTAAGCAAAATGAATTCTCTGTATGTCATGGTTGTGTCTATGTCTGTATTATTAAAAGCAATAGTAATATCAATGAAGAAATGTAGTTGCACAATGTTCCCCCGTTGTGCAACAGATGGTGGAACTACAACTCTCGTTGACGTGCAGGAGAGAACAGAAGTATTGATTTTTCTTTTGAGACTTTAAAAGTCATTGCTGGTTTATTTAGTTTGTTTTCACAGGTTCCAGCCACTACAGCTGATTTAATGCTTTTAAAGCTGTTAAAGCATCAAATTATTAATATTGTATCTGCTGAATGTGTAAATTGGCAACTTTTTGCTCACTCGTTTGCTTTACACTGCACTGTTGGTACATCTAATGTGATCTAATTGGTTTTGGAATATTATCGTGTGTTTGCAAAATGGTTGTGTTAGGAGTTGTGATTGCATTATTGGCCATTCCCAAGGTGACAGTTACTGTCATAACTGCTTTGATTTATTAATGACAGATACAGGATCTTAAATGGATGGAATTGTACATTCCACTGCACATTCTGTCCCAATCCCTTAACTTTATGTTGCCCTTGGAATTTAACGACAACTGTCAATACCAATAATGTGCTCTGTGCACAGTGAGCAAGACAGTGAGCACAATACATTCCAACGCCACAAAGGCATTGAGAGAAGACATGAACATGCTGTACATTTTCCAACATAAGGAAAGGTTGGCATCCACATCAATCTTTATTCAAACGTTAGGGTTACCTTGACTGAAACATTACATTGACCCTTACTAAATTACTTTATCTTCTGTTACATTACGTTTTCTCGCATAAATAGTATTACACTTTAACCTTTGTGACCATGTGCACTTATCCACTAAGAAATGTTTACACCAAAAGGAAAACAGTAATCAGTTTCGTTGTTTTGAAATCCTTTTCTTTTTTGACAGCATTTCAACGGGTTTTCAGTATTTGAACTGCTTTCATGTCCAAAAATAATGTAGAACTACAGATGTGTAGGGAACAGCGAACACATAAAAGGTTCATTTGGCCAGTTTAAGTATGTATAGAATCGTTTTTTGCGGTAGAAGCAAAATATAAGAAGGGTAGAAGAAGAAGAGCAACGACAGAATAAGCATAAATCCAAGCCGTGGTCTCCTGCACGTCCCCTTTGTCGAGGCAGAGGTGCTGCTCGCCTCCCCTCTGTGCTTTTGCACAGCAGTTTGTGACGGCAAGACCAAATAGGTTCTACACATTGACAAACAATGAGAAAGCAAAAGGTGCACCCTTAACCCAGTCTGTGAGGGGTGGAACAATCTGAGGTGCGACACATCTGAAATAAGGGAGACGTTACTGGTGCGTCTGGTGTGAGTGAATTGAGCGTTTCTCTTTGACTCCGGCGTAACCCACAAGGATGCAATACTGGCACTTCTAGCACTGCACATCACCAACTTTAACTACTTGCTGGTTACAAAAAGTAATAAGTAATGTGTTAGTGTTAGTAATGTCTAATGTTGTTTTTTTTACCTTAACTGAATTCAACTCTTTCTATACAAGTTTTATATTATAACTTCCTTGACTGGAGCATTTTAAAATTGACATTATAACTTCACTTGCTTTTTGGCAACAAAAAAACCCTCAATTTCACACTGACATTTCAGGCTGGAAGCCACATCAAAGGTTTCTGAAGTTGAAAGTCCCCACTGCTGACAGTCAGCTACAAATGCAAGAGAATTAGGACAAGCAAACCTGAACTGCTTAGACATAGAAAAACTAATTTCTACAATAGGCACATTTCCATCATAGGATTCACCTTTTGCATCACTTGGATACATTTTGTAATGCTTATAGGCAGGAGCACACAGAATTAGGAAGTCAGCTTTGTTGAAACATAGCTGAACAGCACCTCCTTACAGCTAACAACGAGCAACATTTACTCATGTTAAATTGAAAAATGTGCAATTTTGGTTGAAATATTAAATGCACAGGAATCCTTTAATGGGTTATGCTATGGCAGCTGGCGTCCAATGAGCTGTAGCTGCCACCCAGAAGGGCCCTGACCCCCACTGGGCTGTGTGATAATGCAGGATTACGCACGGTTAAGAAAAAATTCAAATAATATCCCATTCTAATCAGAATCAGGAACATTTATTGCCAAAGTATGTTAGAGATGCAAGGAATCTGACATGGCAGTTGGTGCTTAACATTGGACACTAACATCTTGTAATATCCTACTGAAATGAGTACATGACAGTACATGTCAGATGTATAGTCATAAAACCCCCCTTGGTTATCACCCAAAGCACACGTTTGCTCCTTTTCTTTGTTATAAATGTTGAGTAGCAGGTCTTCTATGCATTCTGCATCGGTGAGAATTTACAGCACATATTAATTGTTTCTTTTTATCCTTTTTTCCCTCAATAAATTCCCCTTCATGAGTTAGTACTATTAGTTGTTTTTTCCTTACCCAATTTTTACCCAAGTTGGATTATGAATGTAGATCTTCTATTTGTAAAGGAGTATATTTACATTGTGATGATCTTTACCCACCACTGCAGTCATTGACTGCGGTTCCCTTCAAATTGTAAATAATGTTTTGTTTTGTTTGTAGTTTTTCCCCTTTGTACACTCGGCCAGAATCTGTACTTCTTTATTCGCAAACATGTTGGTATATCTGCGGTCATTAAATATGCATTGTTGTTACTGAGCCGCTGCAAAATGTGCCTATACTGCTATTTGATTTACACGTGAAGAAACTATTCCCAGCCACGTTAAAAGGAAAATAAAATAGCACTTTAGAAAGACTTAGAAATGCTGGAAATTTGATTAGTGAGAATCTCATTCGTGGCGAGCTAGACTCTGAGTTAATGTGGCGTCTGCTTCTGTTGTTCCTTGCAGTTAAATTAGCACGAGTAATATGATTATAGAAGCCTACTTATTGCAATCACTTGGTCTTCTTAACTGTGTTTGTTCATGGTCAGCAATTGAATATTTCCTCTAACTCATTATGACTCTCCCTATCCCCCAAAGCAGAACAGACAAAACACCTGCTCCTGTGTATCTTCATTTATTTTTCCTGATTGCTTTATTTTGTTTGCACTGTCTTCCTTTAGTCCAAAGCGTCTTTGCTCTGTGTCGCGCTGCTCATAATCCACCTCAGTCAACTTCTCCCTTTCCTCCTCCTAATGGAAGCCGAACGGAGACTATACGATGAGGAGGTTAACAATAGATTAGTCAAAACATCTGCTCCCCCATTCATCTCCTTCCTGTTCCTGACGATCTAATGAACACAGATGTGTTAATCAACTTGAGAGGACCCCCCCCCCCCGACCACATCTGGCTTTCAATCATCTTAATCCAAACGGGATGTCCTAAATCTTTAGTCTAATCTCAGGTGAACACAGAGGAGTTTGACATTACAAACGGGAAGATAAGTCATATTGTAGAACAAACTCGGTGCATCCACGCACACAGCGTTGGGCCTCAAGCTGAGACCGATGTGACAGGATCAATTCCTGACAAATTATCAGGCCCTTTGGAGTTGGTGTTAACCTTTTCAACTCAAGCCATCTGCCGCCCTCATGGGCAGGCACATTCATTAGGGTGTGTTTCCAGCAATAGCAGATCTCTGAAATAGTCAAGCAGAGTATACAAGTATTCCTCAAAAAAATACATTTACAGTGCTTGAATATATGCAGCTTCTTACTGACAAGGGTGTTAATTTACATTTTGTCTGTCTGCTGATCTCATAAATTCTGATTGTTACAGTAAAGTTCAGGATTGAACACTAGGAATAATTTTCTTTAATATAAATTCCAAGCCCAACTAACAGATGAAAATAAAGTTGAACCTTGAAACCTGAAAAAACAGAAATGAGAAAAGCTGAATGAATATCAAAAATTGCTGAAAATTTAGTATTTTTAGTATCAATAGCGGTAGAAATGCTAGTAGTAGTGGTGTTAGTAATAGTAGCAGTACCACTTGTAGTAGTATTAGTAGTAATATCACTAGTAATTGTTGTACTATTTGAAACAGCAATAAGTAATGAAAGCTACGTCATGAAATCAGAATTTCCAATCACTCGATCAAAAAACTATGCAATTGTGAAACTGCTGGCGAAATAGAAATATGTTTTTAACCCGATTCTGAAGCTTCTCTTCACTCTGGCTTTTCAGTCTCCACTGTAGGTACTCACAGACACACCAATGTAAATCTCAGAAACTCATTAAACATAATCAGTGATATTGAAAAAAGTTTAACAATACTTTGGGTTTTTTCAACTTTTTAGAAGTTTAAATTGTAGTTGTAATTGAAATATTGAGGAAGAAGTATTTGAAGTTGAAAGAGTTTAAGAGGATTTGAAAAAAAAAATCCATTGAGAAACCGTGTAAAAAATGGTATGAATATGCATTTATTTATTTATTCATACATAAGAGGTATAACGCTGAAAAGTCACAAAACCATTTATTGTTGCAATACTTTAAAGCATTAGAACAATTATACTTGTGTAAATTGTAAAGTGCACTCAGGGCTTAAAGGTACTTGTTATAAACTCACATCCCCCAAACGTCAAAAAGTAGCCTCGCAGAGCGGCATGACATGAATTGTAGTGCGAAAAATTCCCCATCCCCTTCAGTATGAACAAGCTCCCCCAGACAATGAACTTCAAATCCCAGAATGCACTGTTTAAGGAAGCGGACACTCATTTTGAGCACATGACTTGTGGTACTGCAGCGCATCACAACCAACAAAAACGTTCGTAGTTTTGTTTGGGTTCTTTCCCCCCCCACAAGCTAGTGATTTCGGTTGGTATAGTTATTTTGAGAATGAAACCACAGTATTTAGTCGTTGCTCTGTGCTTCGGTGTCGGTGTGATGGCCGGGAAATACTCTCGTGAAACTAACGAGCCCAAGCCGAGCGGCGGTGGTGCGCAGATGATGGAGTTCAGGATCGCTAAATTGAACCAGGTGTGGGAGAAAGCGAAACGGGTAAGTAAGTTAGCTTAGCAAACGCTACATGAGACCGGCTTCATTACCTGTACGGCTAACTGGAACTGTCCGCTAATTAACGTCAGTATCCGCACCAACACAACCAGCGTTAGCGGAGAGAACCGGGCAGTGTTAGCTAACGTCAATGAGAGGTCGCGTTAGCCGGACAGGAGCAGGATGCACTTACTATACTCCTAAAGCAGGTGTGCAGGTGTGCTTCTGCTTCTCTGCGCTCTGTTTGCCTTTTGAAACAAAGCTTGGTAACGTTAGACGGCTGGGGTGTTGCTAGGTGTTGTAGCATGCTAACTGTTATAATGATGCCCTGCAAAAAAAAAACCCATTAAGTTCATCGGTAAGAACATTTTTTTTTTGTTTTGGTAGACTAAGGACAATATGAGTCATCAAAAAAAAGTCCAGCTGCACAATCCCTCTCCAGTATGCAGTCCTTCATTCACCACGCGCGTTCGGCTCTCTTGCCTTAATCACAGTGGCATTTCCTAAAGTTGATGACTGCTCACCGAGACCAATGAGCCTTCGATCCGCGGTGCCTTCAAAACGCTGCACTCCATGTTCTTGAAATCTGCTATAAAGGTTAAAAGGAGATTAGATTAAGGCTTTAAACTGTGCAGCAGCTCCACCTAAATCGACCCCCCATCCCCTCAGGGAACTGAGAATCTCCACTGACATTATTAAAATCACTTTATCCGAATAACAATGTGTCTGTCTTCCTTTTTGTTTGGGTCTCCTCCTTGCTCGCCTCTCCGTCTGACTAAACCTTTTTGTCGTTTCTCTTTTCGGTAGATGCAGTTGTCGCCGGTGCGGCACGCCGAGCTGCACAGCGACCTGAAGATTCAGGAGAAGGATGAGCTGCAGTGGAAGAAGGTGAAAGTGGAAGGGCTGGATGACAATGGGGAGAAGGAAGCTCAGCTCCGACGTAACTTCAACGGTGAGACACTCGTGAGTTGGGCGGTTTCCACACATTCACAGCAGCGTCTGCCTCGACACCACAGTGTCGCCCTGTGCCACCAGATTTTAGATTTGTCAAATAATTATGCTTTCAATACTGATGAGGTCCACAAAAACATGTTGGTATTCAATTACTAGCAAAAATAGTAGAAATATCAAGCAGATCCTGAGCTGCAAACTGGTATTACAGTGGGGCAAAAAAGTATTTAGTCAGCCACCAAAACGGGGCTGTCGATGGGCAACATTATTAAGCACATTCTAGGCACATGATTTATTTTTGTGCGTTTCAAAGAATGTTACAAATGCAAATTATTTTACAAGCTGTACTTATAAGTAATAAACATCTTTGGAAGGAGAAAATGGTGGTGTTTGCAGACAAATAACCTTGTATCTCAGACATTGGAGGAAAATGGCACCTTCTTGACAGATTAAAGGTTAAAAAAGTAGTTTTAAATATTTGTTTCATCTGAATCTTCATTAGTTTCTCCATTTAAATCCAGTAGTTTGAAGTCAATGTTCACATGCAGGGATTCCATCGTTATACTATTATTTTTTATTTCTCTTTACAATCAAATCCAGAGCTGCTGTATGTGTATATGAAGGGATTTTCGGCTGCAGGCATCAAACCAACCAGATCGAGTGGTCTGTTTAGCATACGACCGCTAGCAGCAAGTGGATACTTTGGCAGCTCGGGCTGCACCACAACTTCTCCATTTCCTCTCCCCAGCGGTGAAGTGACCTTCCAGCTGCAGAGTCTCTCTCCTTTGTAGCCGAATATAAACGCTTTCAAAGCACACCTCAAGTCACCTTATTCCCGATAAATCAAGCCATTTTGTCATTCTAGTTGAGCTAAAAAGTCATTTTTCTTTTTGTTGTGTTTGCTCTCCTCTATTTTGTATCCCTAGAGACAAAGTCCGACACTTTGCTTGTTGTTAATCAGTAGGTGTGGGAATGTGAGGAGGTTTTACTTTTTGCACACATTGCAGATCACTTGGGTCAAGAGCGTCTGCTGAACCCGTAACATTTCCATGGAGTGTTCATATGCACACATCTCCTTTAAAATCCTCGTAAACAGGATGCAAAAACTTGTGAACGCTCTCTCCCAAGGAAATGGCGGTAGTTAATAAGTGACACTGATGAGTTGGTTTGAGATGGAGCTGAATCAGCGGCTGCATACTGTTTACTACAGCAGAATGATGAGGGCAAAGCTTCTTCAGAGCTAAGTCCAACTTACATTTTTTTTCAGTAGCTGCTCAGCATATTTTGGACATAACCAGGGGTTCTAAAAGTAATTAATCTGACAAATACCAAAAACTATTCTGGAAAACAAGTCTATTCAAGTTTTTTTCCTGCCCGTTACTTCTCATTAAAGTAAAACTATTTTGGGTTAAGAACAGTATTACTAAAGCACATGGATGTCCCCATGTTACTCTGCTACTTGTGCCAACAAAAAGGTGCTGTTTGTTTAGTTAAGCTCCCTCCAGAATCCTCGGCTCTAAAGCCTGTTTTGTGACCTTTGCAGCTTATTTTCAAATGGAGATTCATCAGCGTTGCTGCCACTCTGCTTAAAAATGTGTGCTTTGTTATTGATGAGTTTCTGTCAAGGGTTTGGGGCCTCTGGGTAGTACTTGATGTGATTTTTATTTATATTCTGAATATGCGTCTTCGTCACTTAGACTTACTTGTCCAACAGTTTCCTCTCATGACCTCCTGGGTGTTTATTCCTCACAGGCTCATGTTGGGATCATTTGTCGCAGCAGTTGTATGCTTTATTGTGAGGTCAATGTGTGTATGTAGTGATCCTGGCCAAATATGGAATGGATGGGAAAAACACTCGACCGTTGGAGAGCAACCACCTGAAGGACCACGACACCAAAGAGGGAGACGTATTTGAAGACCCAAGACTGGATAAACTGTGGAACAAGGTGTGTGTGTGTGTGTGTGTGTGTGTGTGTGTGTGTGTGTGTGTGTGTGTGTGTGTGTGTGTGTGTGTGTGTGTGTGTGTGTGTGTGTGTGTGTGTGTGTGTGTGTGAGCGTTCAGAGGAAGAAAGAAAAAATTTAAAATAAATGTGTAGGCAATGGTGCCCTTGTTTTGCAGTGGAGTTGTGGGACCCTTGAAGAAGCTCCATCAAAGCAGTACTGGTGCATGTTCACTGCACCAGTACTGCTTTGATGGAGCTTCTGCATTCGGCACAATACCTTCCCTTAAACATTATTTTCCAAATCCATCAGGCCAAGAGCTCTGGGAAGTTCTCCAATGAGGAGTTACTGAGTCTAAAGAGGGAGTTCCAGCATCACAAGGACAAGACCCATGAGTACAACATCCTCATGGACACCGTCAGCAGGACCGAAGGTGAGCCGCGTTATTCCCTTTTTGCTCTGCTGCTGTGCTCACGTGTCGCACCACCCGCGCTTAGAACTGTCAGTCATTTTTCACAGGCAAACTTTAAGCCAGCTCCTCCATTTTCTATCCACCGCCGAGTCAAAACGATGGTTACTCCTAAACCCGTCCCAGCATAACATTTTACAGATTACATTTGACATACTAAACTACAACTTGAAGAATTTTGCTGAGCAATAAGGCCACATGTTCACATTAGCCTATGGCACTTTCCAAAGTAAAAGAATGTAAAGGTGAAATGTTGTACCCATGTGAAGGGTATGAGCCTGCACATGCGGCCCCCCCCACTGCTCTGCACTCTATCAGTGTTTTCACATCAAGTGAGTCTTAAGCGGCGCCGACAGGCCCCACCTGCTGTGGTTCAGCTACACTGGAGGGAAAGGCAGGTTTCCTTTGGAACATGACTTAATAACTTTGCAGCCGCCTCGTTGTGCAAGACCTCCACAGCGAGACATTTGCGCCGTTTTTGCATCTAAATAGTGAAATAATCAAAAGTTGCCTTGAGTCCATGCACCTCCAACACCATCACCTCCATGTGCACTTTTGCAGCGTTCCCCAATCTTCATTTTGCCAAATGTCAAACTGTTGTGCAATTGCCCTTTTAACTTTTTACCACCTCATATTTTCCTTAGTTGAGTAGGCAGGTATTTCATAACCACATTGTAGTATCAACCGAAGCAATACAAGGTTTGATATGGAGAAATAAATGTCATATGAAGAAAAGGATGTTCTCACCTTATTAAACACTGTTCTCCTTTAGCTCATTTATTGCTTCAATTTCCTTTTCCCTTCCTCCCATTCTTTTTTTCTATTCCTCATGTTTTTTTTTCTTTTTATCTCTGCCTGTTCCCCTCAATAGAAATACACAAAAATGTAATATCTCCCCTGGAGGGTGACACAAAAGAGCATGTGCTACACCAGAAGCACACGGACCTGAAGCAGAAAATGAGAGACCTCAGCCAGGGCTTTGAGCGCCTCCGTAAACTGAGCCACGAGGGCTTCACCGAGGACAGCGGTGAGGAGAGAGAACACACTGTATCTCAGTCCATCTAATCACAATCACACAGGGGTTTCCAATCTGCATCCATTTGGGTAGTACAGTAGGTCAAAAACATTTATAGCATGTTGAACAAAGTCGTAAGAAAGTAATACTAAAGTGTATATATGAAGGATTTATACTACATAGCATGTTAATAATTTAAAATATGTAAAAAGTCAGTTTATACATGGCATGTTGAAAAAAATGACAGAAGTAAAGCTTTAAAAGTCTATTGGCGTGTTTATCGTGTACCTTCCTCCTCTAGAGTTCCGGGAGCCGCGCGTGATTGAACTGTGGGAAGCCGCCAAGAGAGCGAACCTCAGCGACGACGAGTTGGACTCTCTCAAGGTAGCTCGCACATCGCTAGTGACAGTTTATGGTCCCTTCACCTCTTTTTGTTTCATCGCAGTGCTACAGTCACAACGGTATGATAAGTACTACTTGTGCATTGTAAGCCGAAAAGCCTCAAGTGCACATTATTCTTATCGCACATTACGCACTCTCCCATCTCGCTATGGGCTCCTTTCACTCTTTGTCCACAATCCACCACGATGAACCCAATTTAAATGTTCTCTCGATTTAAAGTATGTCTCGCTTTAAGAGCAGTTGTGTCAAATAGTTACTTTCTCTCTATTCAGCGCTTCAGATCAGCTCTAGCGTGAATGTAACTGAACTTAAAGCCTCCGGTCCTCCTCCCCGTTTTCGCTTAGGAGGAGCTGCGTCACTTTGAGACCAAGGTGGAGAAGCACAGCCATTACCAGGAGCAGCTGGAGCTTTCTCACCAGAAGTTGCGTCACGTGGAGTCTTTAGGAGACAAAGAGCACATCAAGAGGAACCAGGAGAAGTACGACACACTAGCTGAGAAAACCAGGGAGATGGGTTACAAGGTAAGGAGGGATAACCCTAAACTACATGCATTTACACCCCAAAGGTGCTGTCTAAATGTTGACTGCTTGCCTGCAGTAGAAACTAATACTGTTGCAAAGTGAGCAATGAATAAATAAATAATAAACCTTGCTATAGTGTTAAGACAATGGGGAAAAATAATTCTTAGACTGTCAACTCCATGTGTTTATCCTGTTATATGTAAAATGTTGTTTATTAGAAAATATTTGTAATATAACTAACCAATAAAGCAGGTGTTGATTTCAGATCATTACTTAGCAAAGCCTTATTTTTAAACGCAAGTGTTCTGTGAGATGGATGTGCCTATCAAATGCTCATATACATGCATTTGTCTAATTTCAGATGAAGAAGCATATGCTGGACTTATCGAACAAGATCTCACGTGAGGGACTCAAGCATAATGAGCTTTGATGATCGGAACAATTCCATCTGCAAAGCCTGCCACTAAAAAGAAATCACTTTTCTAATGTTTTTTTCTTAGGAATGGGGGGGTTGTTTGTACATAGTAATCTGGTTCTACGTGTACTTGCGCAAGTAATGAATAACAAGAATATGGTCATAATGCCAAAACAAACATTTTGAGAGCTGAAGTCATTCTTAATCAGATGAATGGAGTGCACTACTACACCCAACAACTCTATCATCAGTTACAACTCTAGATATATACAATAGTAACTCAGTTTTTTTTAAATATTCTGTTGTGTCTGATCAATGTAAAATGAGTTGCAGATACAGCAAGGATAACGGCAAACTTTAATGTGAAAGAGGCAGGTGCAAACAACAATAGTTTAACATCACTCATTTTCTCAGCAACTATTTACAAATCATGTTGATGAAAGCAGTCCCTGTAATGCAGCTTTTCTACTCCTCCATCACATAAGAGTAGTGCCAAAACGGAGGTGAGATTTTTAGAACTCTTTTTCTAATCAGATGCAGACACATTATTCACTCATGATGAATAATCCTCCTAAAGTATGACTAAGACGCTCTGCTGTGGAATGACAAGTGCCCCAGCTTGTGAAGTACAGCTGTGCTATTTCTTCAAAGTTAAGGTTGTTTCTAACAATCAGAGTGATTCTTAAAAAGTGCTACGATGCAAACTTGTGTATTTTAGTACAAAAACTTATGATCAACTGTAATGAAGCACATAAGCTTATTCGTGGAGATGAAAACTATTTTGAAGTTTAATATTGCCATGGCTCTCCAGCTGAGTCCGCCTGTCCTCCCTGCCCTGGACATGCTCCGCCCCCACTCTCTGAGCCGTTTCCATGGCAGCGATGTCGAGGTGGGAGTATTTGATGGAGCTCTGTTCTGGTTGGGAAATCAGTGGTAAAGTGGGGAGAAGAAGAGAATATTTGGTCTGCTGGAATACAACTCTAATATTAGTCATGCTTAGGATTTGTTTAAACTGTAGTTTTTTTTGTTTTTTTTATGAATAAATTGTTGATCCTGTCTTTCCTCATTGCAAATCAAATATATACGAAGATGCATAGCATGGCAGAACACGCTTAACCTAAGAAGCTGTGTTTAATGGTAGTGGTGAATAAGACAGGTGGAGCCCAGTGGGCTCTGCATCATCTTACCTCTGACCCTACTGGAGACGGGAGCGCTGGTGGGGGTGGTAACATAATTAACCAGCCAAATGTCCAGGGCTACAGACGGAGGAGCTTCATGGGCACGCTGGTCAATTCCTGAAGTAAAAAAGATGAAATCGGTTAGCTGGTTGCTTATTTCATTCCACACCAGCGACTGTCATGAAATAAATTATTCTTGATGGGACTGGTAATGAACTCAAATTTAAAAAGAAATACCATACAAAAGTATTTAATTAAAATCAAGTGTCCAGTCTTAAATCATTATGGTATTTCATTAAAAAGTGCCTTATGGTGGGTAAGAAGTTATAGTGTGTTGAATAAATTGTAAAAAGTCGTGATGCAGTATGTCCTAAAAACATCACAGGAAGTATTAAAGCACTCTAACAAATGAGTCATACCACAGGCTGATGTTGGCCCATACATGCTCAGTGCTCTAGGCAGAGGTGGGGGAACCGAGGGGGGCAAAGAGGGAAACGACCTCTTCCAACCTGCTAAATTATCCTCAGCTTCATCCTGCTCCTCTCCTTCACAGAGAGAACAATCTGCCAGACCACAATAAACCGACGTGAAGATCCCTGTGCCAGCTAGATGTACCGATAGTAAAAGTACAGATATATCAGTAGAATGGTCCCCGTCAGGGCTACATTATGTAACATACACAGCCACTGTTTCAAATGGGTACCACAATCCAAATTGAGTAGGTTGAACAAAAACAACACATACTACAAATTTCTCCTTGAAGAAGCAGTATACTTGAGTAAAATGCACTCGGTTTCTTCCCACCACAGTATGAGCCAAGTTCACTAATATACAAACATACCTTGTGTATCTGCAGAAGGTGACAGGCCTGATGGGAAATTGGTAAACTAGAAAACAAATGACAAAAACATTATTTAAGATTTTGTCTTGAACAACCTAGTTATGACTTGACGTGACGCTTTCGTCGCGTTATATGTTACTTCTGAACTTCAGCATCAAGCGGTAGAATGGTGCTATTTCACTGCCAATTTGGGCAGTCATTTAATTGACCACCAATACTGTAAAGTAATGTCAAACAAACTTCCTTAAAACCGAGAAGAAACGCAGCAACGTAAAAAGCATTTGCAGAAAGGTGTGGACCAGGAGAGGTCCTTGATTACGAATCCGAAAAGCATGGAGGTTTTTGCAGTCGACCGGGAGCAGCTACAGGGATACGCAATAATTACAGGACAAATTCCGCTTTCTCAACAAGCTCTTCACACTGGCAATATCCCGACTGTAAATAAAGAGTGAGTCACCTCTCGGAGTCTCATCATAATTTGCAACACAAGCGTTTGTCTCCTGATCGTACCTGAAGCCGAATGCCTTCCTTCTTGTTCCCCTCAAGATAAACATCGTTAGCTCTGCTGCTGTCAGCGCGGTGAGGTAATAGCCGCGGGGTCGGTTGTTTACACGTGTGCTTATGCCATCCCTCAACTATAGAAATGCTTTGATTTTCAAATGAAGCACCGTTAACTACTGACAAGGCTATAACAGTGAAACATCTAATCAACAGATCATTTAAATGCAGTGGCGGCTGGTCAATAGAGGGCAATGGGTATCGGCCCACCTTGAGCCCATAAAAAAATGAAAGATAGGATAATATTAAATTAGAAAAGAAATTAAAATTTTGGAAATACGGAATGTACCCAGGAATATTTTTAAAACAAGATATCTGTATGAGATATATGCTTTCCCTACACGTCCCTGCCTGTCATAGCAATTGGTGATAAAATAAAATAAATGTGTGACGTTCAATTTAGCCAATCAGCGTCCTTAAACAGACTCACGCTCGGACAATATTGGTTTGGCGGCTGCCAGCTTGCTCATTCTCGACATGGCTGGTATCGACCGGCCGAGGACACAATGGAGGAAGTAAAGCGCACGCATTCAAGCAGACGCGACCAATGACATATATACAGTTTATATGATATCATACTGATTATTATTGTGTGTGTGTATATATATATATATATATATATACACACACACACAATATATATATTATACTGAATGGCCTCGGAGGCTGACTAAAATAAGATTGTCAAAGTGTTATTTACTGCTTTTTTTTCATGTTGGAATAAATATGAAATATTTAACTGCAAAATAATAAAGTGTTTTTGATACCATAATTGTTTGGCATTTAATCAACCTGTGGTGTTTGCTGAAACTGATTAGATTGCCCGACCTAGAACATTTTCCACCAGCTGCCCCTGTGACCAAGCCTGTTTTATTAAATGTGTCTTTTAGAAGTGGAAAGAGTGGGTTTCTTCTTTTAAATGTTATATAGAATCTTATTTTAGCTCTGCTGCCGAGTTGGAATTACTGGAATTAGTAGGCAAATGCAAAAGGTACCTGGGTCAAGCCTCTGTTCCTCGCTGACCGCCACTGCTCCGGCGTCACGTAGTTGTCCGACCCGCGACTAAACTGGAGAGACAAGAGAAGTTACTGTTGACGGAGGGTCAAGTGTTTAACATTTAACATGGTTACTGGCTCAAACTGGTTAAAAATGAGTTTTGGAGAGAGGCTAGATTGTAAATAGCTCTTGTCTTTGAAAAGAATTGAGCTGGAGGAAGAAGGACGTGGAGAAAGTGTGACCTCATCCATTTCTTTTTGATCCCGGGCTGAAAGGATAGTAGGTGGTAACCAAGGGAAACCTGGAAAGTGTCCGAATTTAGTATTTTCTCCCCCACAGCAGCGAACGCCGTACGCTCAATCATCAGGAACGTTATTTTGCATACGGTTGCATAAGGTTGTTTAGGGCTATGTAGGTGATGAGTAATATTTTGAAGTCTATCCTGTATTTTACCTACCGTTTCATTCGACTGAGGGTTTCTGCCAAGTTTTATCACTACTCGTTTACTTCCTTTGGCCCCTTTCGCTCCCTCTCTCTCCAGTATAAACATGTAAAATGAAAACGCATTCCAACGCGAGCTGTCAGGAATCACAAGACATGCGGCTTGATGTCTGCCACCATAGTGTGTGTTTACGAAGAGAGTTGGTTCATCAGCCAGAAACACTGCAAAATGATATAATGCGGCAAGAGCAAAGGTTGAGATTACAAAAGGCCAAACAGAGGAAAAGTACACCCTCAGCATGAAAGACTAAAAGCCACTTAAGCCTCATTTGCTTTGGAACTAGTATTACCAGAGGACCTATTGTAATGTATAAATCCCCTGCTCTCTCAAGTGATGAAGAAGAAAAACAAGCAGGACCATTGAAGAGACACTTCGCTCAACTCGCTGTGTGGGGTGAAAAAAAACGGTGCCAAGCCTAAATGTTTACCAGCGCAACTTCCATGACTCTGAAGGAAGGAAGAGGGCCCAGAAAGAAGTGGATAAAACCAGAAAAATGATTTACGTTTCAAATAACCCCATATGCCAGATATGCTAATTTGCACAATACCAATATCAAATAACCTGTGGTTGGTAAATTATAGACGTTTGTTGAACTTTTACTTTTTACCCTGCTAGTGCTTTCGGACACTCTAAGACCGGACATAAATGTGCAGAGCCTCATGACTCCATATTCAAAGTAAAGGTAGCCAGGGATTACTCCCCCAGATTCTTTGCTCATTCTACAACATTGAAACCACCATCTTATCAGCACAGAATTAGTTCCATAAGATATAAAATATATTAGTGAAACGATAGGAAAAAAAAACTATGGGGAAGCAGAGACATAAAGAGGAAATGAGTGAATCTTTAAGAGTACATCCCAAGGCTGCAGCAGGTGATTAGAATGAACATGTTCTTTCATTTCGTTAAGACTACACTTAATACAAATGTTTGCACAAAGCAAAACTCACAAGATGGAATTTCTAAAGTAGAGCTCAAGAATATCAGTTTTCTTGCGCCTTATCATTGCTACAATGTGATTAACAAATATCTTGGGTGTAAGATTCTAAAACCACCATTTAAAAATCACATTTTCTCTGGTCCCTCTGATAGCTCCTGTGTAAAACAACTCATCTATAACATACTTCACATGAATACGTCTGTATAGTAGTGTGAGAACACCATTACCTGAGATTCTCCACTAACAAAGCCTCCGGGGACCAGAAGGGGTCGAGGTGTGGCCCTCTCCTCACTCTCCACAGGGGGCGCCCTCTCACTGCCACAGGAGTGCGAGTGCTCCGTCGTGCCCAGGCGCTGTGCTCTGGTTCCTGGGGGCATGTTGCTAAGAGTTTGTCCCTGACCATCCCATCTATCCCCTCTGCTCATACTGCTCCTGCTGTACCTGCCCGCCTCAGAGATGGAAGGTTCCCCCAGGGACATGGCCTTGAGTAGACTCCTTGGGGTGTCGTACTGCAGACTTAGCAGGCTAGGGATTTGATATTCTCCACTGTGCCTTTCAGACGCTCGGGAGCAAGATCTGGAGACCCAAGGACCGGAGGAGCTGGCAGAACTGAGCTCTGGGGAAAGTGTGGACTGAAAAGGAGAAGGAACGGGGGGAGGAACAGCAGGAGGTAAAGAAGGAGGAGGCTTCAGGACAGGTAGACTGTGAACAGAGGTGAACTCCCCCTCCCCTCCTGCGCCGGCCATGTCCAGACTCCCAGTACATGAGGAGAAACTCCCTGAGGAAGATGACTGACTGCCTGCTGCTATCCCAATCCCACTGTCTAATGAGCTCTGCCACCCGCTGTCATAGAGACCACGAGGATGCAGCTGGGCGGAGGATGGACGAGTTCCTGCGCTTCCCATCACAGCAGCATAAAGCCAATCATCTGAACTGGTCATGGCCTTCAGTGTGGAGGAGCTCGAGCCTGTCACGTTAGAGACGAGCGGTTGTGCTAGCGGCTCCCCCCGAGATGAAAGTCTGCTTCCACAGCTTGCATCCGAATGACTGGAAGAGGAGCTGGAGAGGCTGCTTTGGTTGTCCCCGGCAACAGATGACCTAAAGCTGTACATGGATGCTGAATAGAGAAGGAAAGTAATTAAGATCCCAACAAAGTGTTTGTGTTTTATAAAGAACATTTATTGATTCATTAGAAATAATGTATCTAATTATGGTTGGAAATAACAAAATATCATGACCCTTTGAAATCAGTTTTTAATTAACAGCTCACATTTGCTATGGATCAAGTCTTTTGCAGGCCTTCCCATGCAGTGAAGTCAGAAATCTTCCAAACGCTGATCTTGAAAGTTAGTCAGCAAACATGAGTCACAAGACCAATAACATCCAGCAGTTCATATTACTCATACAAACGTCATTATGACAGAAGCTGCTCATAAATATAAACCAGGGAACAAGCAGACAAAAAGAAAGAAATTAGGAAGAAAAAAGTCCATTAAGTATCAGAAGACTGATGGTGCATGCAATCCATCTGACACATTATAACAGTGCCCGTGAGTTACACGTTGTATATTTATATCCTACAGTGCAGGTTACAGTGTAATGTACCTGTGCTGCTCGCTAAGCTGCTTTGAGACAACATGCTGAGTCTCTTCTCCAGCTCTGACGCCGCCTGGCTGATGCGTTTCTCTGTCGACGCTGCATCTGCATTGGGATCTGCATAACATACAGGGATGCACCAAAAAAAAGATCACACAAACAAACAACATTACCAGTATGTAGCAAAGTGACTGAAGTCAAGGTGGTGCCCATAGCTGATGACATTATAAGCATCCTTTAAAAAACAGTTATATTGTTTATCTCATAACTTTATCCATTATCTGTGACCACGTTTTTATACGTTAATGAGTATGAAAACATACCTGTGTGACCTAGAATGACTCTCAGAAATACACATTGCACAAAACCAGAAAAGTCTTCTGTGTCTATGCGGAAATATTAAAAGCAAAAATATTACAGGTAGAATCTTAAAAGGTGCTACTGTATGCATCGCCTGATCTTTGCCGTGTGCGACTTGTAAATTTACCCTGAATTTATCAAAACACCCGGCCAATTACACACTTAATGCCCGCTATATATACACCCAGTGAGTGTGTGTGTGTATCGGTGTGAACAACCTAACCCCCGGATCTCTGCTTCTTGACTGCATCAGCTAATGCTAACATGCAGATGCCAAGTTTCTTCACTACACTATGTGAGGTGTCAGCTAACATTTCTAGCTAGTCTACGCTAATTATAGCTTCTTTACTGCACTGAATGTCGTGGGGTTACAGAGGGCCTCATAGCAGACTGACGCAGGTCAAAGGACACTAGAATAAATGTTGGAGGGAGTCTGAAGTCTACTTAGGACATTAAAAAATGCCCATGCAACATGTACAAGTAAGTATATTACTACATCTGATATTCTCAGATAAGTCAGATTCTACACAAGACTTAAGATGAAGTAGAAATAACAATATGTATAATATGTAAAAATATGCTACGTGTATTATGAGTAATTGTGCAGGTGAAATCATTATTATATTTTTTACCTACTTCCTGCGGCTCTTGTTTTGTGTATATTGTGCGATCCTGTTAATTTCTCCATTGTGGGACTAATAAAGGAATATCTTATCTCATCTTATGTTACTGTTGTTAAGTTACCTGACATAACTTCGGTTGCTACAGTTGATTTGTGAGAATGAGAGCGATGTGAGGTCCCAGTGACCACCAAATTCTCATCAGTGTGTGCATGAAGTGATGTGCGCTGATTGATGTTGGCAGTTGTCCCGTTTCTACATTATGAAACAATAAAAAAGAGTTACTTGTCACTTTTCTCCACAATGTCATCAATTTAATCTGGATGATTATCAAAGTTTCCTTACAAAAAGGTATATGGCCAAAACCAGACTTCTGTCAACATATCTATGGTCTCAGGAATGCCAGTGTCAGACAAAGTCATGACCCCTTAAACCACGCCGTGACCCTTGGGGCTTTAAGCATGTGGTGTTTCCGTTAGCATGGCGCCCGCCACAAAGTCACGCACCAATGTGATGCATTGTACTAGTTCAGTGCAGTGCTTCTCTTTTTCTAATATTGTGTACGATTTTTTTGTAAAGCTTACTTGCATGAGGGAATGTGTGTGTGTGCGTGCTGCTTGCTCGCATAAGTGCATGCCCACCTGGCAGGGCAGGTCGCAGGCCATGAGGCGGCCTGCTGGAAGTGATGCCCCTGACAACGCAGTCAAACAGCAAACTGATCTGCTCTCCTTCGGGACAGGACAAGAAGAAAACACCAGCCCCTGGAAGATGGGATGGGAGAGACGAACATTATCATCAATGACAGACATACGCCTATGATTGATGACAAAAAAAAGACATCAGTGAACAGTATGAAGTGTAGTAAATAAAAATAGTAAAGGAAATTCTCTCTGAGCTGAGCCAAACAATATTCAGTGAGCAATATCCAAAAAGCTTTTGTAAAGGCAAGGTTGCTTGAGTCAGCAACAAGCCTTTGTTCTAAAAGGTTACATACAACTCAATTCAGCCCCCCACTATACTATCAATCCCACACAGGGGTGTGACTGTGAACACAAGACAATCAATCAAAAAAGAAAATCCTGAAACCCCACAATGTCACATCGCAGAAATATTGAAAATACAACCAAAGTATGCACTTTGTTGTTTCTATGAGACTTGAGAGATGACATGAGATTTGTAGCTAATGAAAAGTTGGAGCAGCTTTGATGAAATTCAGAGATTTAAAAAAGGCTTTCATATTATTACAGAGCTAAAAACTAAGTTCGTATTCATGATTTTAAAGAAAATTACAAAGACGATTTAAAGGCAATTACAGTATTTTCTCAAGTCTTGCGCTGCTTACTGGCAGCTCTGTCAGACGTTCCCAACTAGAGCAGATGCAGTATAAAAATACCACCCTGGATGATATCACTGTCATGATGCTTGCATTACAGCCAGGAAATGACATACTATAGAACTCACCAACTATAACGTATTATTAACTAATTAGATACATTTATTAGACTTTGATTCATTGTATGATCCAATTGATTTACCTGAACGGATAGAGATACTTTTGGGAGGCTGATATTTGTGAATCTAGTATTGTAAAGCATGGCAATGTTCCCCCCTTGCAAGACAATTGTCTAAATAGCACCAGATTGCAAGAGAAGTCATTTAAGGTTAGAACATGTCTATACGTTGTTCTTGTATTAGACAATTTAAATGTAAATGTAAACCTTTTTAAGTTTTTATGACATGAAAACCAGACACAAACTCTGGCCATGTATGGAGCAACGTTATGAGAAAGAGTTCATGTATCAGGTTTAAAAATACATTTGAATTAGGGTAGATGTAAAGATAGAAGTAGCCTAGCAGCTAGCGTAGCTTAGCCTAGCAGCTAGCACAGCATAGCTTAGCTTAGCCCGGCCGAGCGTAAAGTGGTCAGTTTGCCACTCACCCCCCTTCTGTTTGACACGTGGGGGAATTCCTTTGCACAGTTCTCCCCCTGCATGTTGCACCTGTTTGTCTTACTTCCGATGCAAAAAGCCTCTCTACATCTTTAACTACCGTCTCGCTCTCACGATCTAATCAATTGCATCCAGCGGCGGTTTTGTATCCGGGGTCAACTTTGTTTACTTCCGGCACACTGGAAGACCGGAAGTAAATGTTAACAGCGTTAAAATATTTTATCGCATCCATTTCGGCCTCATTAATCGCATAGATCAAAGCTTTATTTTTGACCGCCCTAATTTTAATATAACTCAACTTTATAAATTCTACTCTTTGCTAAGAACTGGTTGTCTGCATAGTTTAAATATTTGGGTTAGTATACAGCATTGAAGTGTCTTTGTTTTAGCTTTAAAAACTACCCTTTATCTTCAAATCAATTCTTTACCTTTATAGGTTGATGTCAACATAACCATTTAAAAAAGTAGCTATATTATAACATCAGAAAGAAAATCATTAGAATTTCTAGGGATACAATACATCATTTTTCAATTTCTGATCCTTTTAAGGGATGATAATAAATATGTTTTAGATGTTATAACCACTAAGAAGACTTGTTTGTCTGTGAGACATGTAATAATCTCATAGTGTCCACTGAAGAACATGGAAGATTATTGACTTAGCAAGTCATCTTTAAATTCCATTGAGCTAAATCACAAGCCTTGACAACCATCCGGCCTCTGCAAAGGATCAGCTGTTACTGTGTGTGCAGCACAGGGTCAATAGGAACACATGTTGACCTAATAATCCAGAAAATATCCATCTAGCTAAAACACCGCTTTGCACAAATCAACATTGATTACACTGTGGCCTCATTATCACATTGGATGGGAGCTGAAGTACGGATGTCAATACATGCAATTCATAAGAAAAAGCACAGAGGCTCATCTTATTAGGGTCTAGTAAAAGTCTTTCCACGACATCAGTGCCAACTGTCCCACAGGTCTGGTTGGCTGTCGGTCAGGGAGTGTGTGCGTGTCCATAGCAGTAGGAAGGTTTGTTGTGGCAGTGAAGGCAGTGAAGGGTAAAATAGTTACTTACAGCAGACCAGGGGAGACTGGAGGCCTTATGGGAAAATAGGGAGCTGAGAGAGTAAAGGATTTGGCCCGATTGTCTAATGTAAATACACGATAAGTTAACAGATACAGCAGCTTTACATGGTCCAATAGAGATCAAGGACAGTCTTCAGAATTCTAATAAAGCATATCAGCCACTGCATTCAAGTGGCGTGCACAAAAAAGATAATTTAGGGGTAATGTACGAATAGCACAAAAAAACATAAGGTAACAGTCAGCACTCATGCAAGGAATGTCACTTTTGACATTTGACCATTTGTCCATTTGACTCTTAACATCTTTCTCTTTCTGTCACTCTGGTTCTGCACCACGCTAAGAGGGCCTCTCGCTGCTGCCTCTGGGGCTGCTTGGTAATATGTAGACGAGGTGAAGGAGAAAACTGTGACTATCAGTTGAGCTAGCCGGTGCTATATGATTGGCTGAGTGACCACTAGAGGGGAAGCTGGTATTTATAGATGTTGCTCATCAAAACACTGAAACCAGACCCTTTGACCCTCAGGGTTATTTCTGTAGGAGCCATGAGAGGGTTCACTCACACACACACACTTTCTCTTAGCACCAACACACCACTCAAACAAATAAGTCAGATAAGAGGTCCCCCAATACCAGAGAGTTAGAAGAAAAAATACATTTTAGTTGTGTAGGTGTATTAAGTTTTCCCACAATGAACACATTAAACACTGTCCCATTAGACACTCATCTAGCTGCCCATGTGTCACACACACACACACACACACACACACACACACACACACACACACACCTCATTCTTCACATTAATGCCCGTATCAACTGGACCTTTTGCCTAAACACTGGTAACTACATAAACGCATGGCTGACATATTTTATATGCAGGTGTATATACTTGTATGTATTTTTTTCCATGTGTTACTTGGTAGGTCTATCAACCTGTAAGCACTACGGAGACATGAAAAGCAGTATTATTTTAACTGTGGAGCCCTATAAATAGGTGTAATTAGAAAACTGTGCTCCAATGGTTGTCTGTCGCATTGACTAAGTTACAGGTTTAGTAAGTTACAAGCAAATTCTCAATATTTATGTGTATATCATAAAAAAGGTTAAATTGTCAATTTATTTGGAAAAACACTCAAATCTCATTGACCCATTTGTCTGCTTTGTACGATGAATAAAAAACATCCAATACATGTAAGAAGGCCAACAATTTAGGAGGTCCAATTATGCAAAATGCCTCATAACCGGTGCTGCAAATGGTAAATGGAATATGGCTCTCATCGAGCTGTTAGGGTTAAGATGTTGCCCTTCTTGGCTGCAGGCCACATAGTGTAAATCCACACTGCAGTAAAATCTTCAGAGAGAAGGAAATACTTACAGATTCCGCAGCGAGTGCCCCCCTCGAACACAAAGCCATTTGGCACGGCGCCATAGCGCCGCAACGCAGACAACTTCCAGTGGCCGATGGCGACAGGCAGGACGCCTCTGGTAAGGACCAACAGGTTGTTGCACAGGTGGAGAGAGGCGGGGCCGCTTTCTAGTTTGGTACCTGGCTCGACGTTGACACGAAACCTGTGAACTGAAGACAGAAAGGAGAGTGAAAGCTCGGGAAGCGTGAAGAGTCTGTGGTTTTCTTTTCACTCACTTTTCTATTGCAAACCGATTAATGTCGAGGACAAGCCTGCAAGGGCCCACTAGAGGAGACGCACCACAAAAAAAAACTCGCTTCAGAGCACACTATGTTAAACCTAAAATATTAAAGTAAAAGAATTACTAAAGAGTTCACTCATGAAATGGGATTCAGTGTATTTTGTCATTGTTTGATGTGGCCCTTTAATCCCTTCTCTTTTGTCCTTCAGCTAACCACTTCGAAAAAAGGTGTGAAGGTGAGACAGCAGATTTTGCAGATAGAGGACAGATCTTGTCTGACTGCAATTCCATTTTTCATTTCTTTGGTCTCCTCTAGCAAGTCGCCCTCCGGCGGATCGACTTTTTCCGCAACGCTTCTTAACATCCTGACGGTTACATATCGTATGTATTATTAGTGTGACCACACATAACCACATCACGCTTTATTTTTTTAAAACATGATATGGTCGAGAACAACTGTGTCATGGGACATCTAGAGTCGCTTAAAGGCTCGATTATGTAACATTTAGATACTAATAGTGACTCAACCTTCCATTCTTTGAAACCATACTCTCTATGAGGATTGTTAGCACTTTTGATCTCCAAATAAACAACTTTTCTTCTCAGTATTACACAACCCTCGGGGATCCCGGCTTCCCCTGGTGCGCATTGAAAACACAAAGACTAACCAGATACAAAACAACAATCGGAATTTGTTGATGTGTGTTATCTAACTGCAGTTCACTGAATGAAGCACATGAATCATCCACACCTCACATCCTTGAGGAGGCACCCAGCACTGTGCGATCAACACTAGACAAACCACGGACCTTCTCCCAGGCTGTAGCGGATGCGAGCATCCCAGGCCAGCAGGGCATCTCGGCTGTTGAAGCCCAGGACCAGCGTGCGGGCCAGACAGAGGATGGAGAGGGTATAGGACACCCCGTCGAGTCCAGGCCCAGGCTCCACGCCGCAGATCCCCTGAGGGAGCACAGCACATTACAGTGAGATTGTCTAGTATTCTATTTTTATTCTCTATTCTTTTTATTATTCCCAAGGAAATCTGTTATCAACTGCAATCAAGAGTTTTGTCTCTCTTGATTTGGGGAGATTTATTAGCTGCACAGACTCTCCGGGCTTAAGTGCTCGCCTCTCTTCCATCCACAGTTGGTGCAGCCCCCGTAAATGTGCCATCAGTAGAAAACCTGTGACGCACCACCGCTAAAGGGCTGCGATGCAGCTGCCCCATCAGATTGTTTCACCTGCAATTGAGATCAGCTTAAAGTACCTCCAGCGTTACATTGAGCCTTTCCTTGTGGCCTCTGCCCTTCTCCTTCCCTTTCTTCTTCTGCTTATACACCTGCAGAGACAGACAGTCTAGAGAAGAAACACAGAGGGAGGCGCTTTAAGGAGAAAGCAGAATGTAGAGCAACAACTGGGTCGATTCTTTGTTATCTCCGCTACACGCCTGCACGTGTTCATGGCACACCGGTCATAACGAACCCTACGACAACGAACCGATCCACGGGCACAGCTGGTGATGAAAGAAGACTCAAATACACCAACACACAAGATAACAGGCCGCTCTGCACGCAGCATCTCAAGTGAAACTCGATTCTGTTATGAAACATGCTGCTTTCTGTTTTCCTGCCAAGCATGAGGAGAGAAACCTGCTACAGCGTCACAGTTTACATGTTTAGCTGAAATGATTTCACATGATTAACTTGGTATCCAACAAAATAGTTCTAATATTCAGACTGATTTGAAGGACCAGGGGACTAAATGAAAGCAAGCTTCAGTCCAGCTGGTTTATTAGTGCAAGACATTCCCACAGGTTGACACGGATATGGTGCGTTATGTGCTCCTGTGGCGCACAGCCAAGAGGCCAATTGACAAGTCGTGATTAGTTTAACAGCATAAAAGCAAATGGGATAAGCGCTGGGACACAGATGAAGGAGCTGAACTGTATAAATGAACACATTAAAAGTGGTTTGCCTCATACCTGCTACCGGAGACGGCTTCTGGAGGACGACGCACCGAGTCTTCCACTGTGGAGAAGTTCGTAAAGAGTCAATAAATGACAGAGTTAGTTCCTGCAGTAGTCCCTTAAGTAGGAAAAGACACTGAAAGCTAAAAAAAGATGAGGAATATTAGCGGAATTGACCTTTTTTCCATCTCTAAGCTTGACTTGTCCCTCCGCGACAACTGTATCCGTCATCTTCTGTCATGGTTCCGAGCAGCTGTGTGTGAGCCTGTATGTGTGTGCGTGTGTGTGTGTGTGTCTCTTGCCTCTAGTCCACACAGAGAGAGAGAGAAGTATAGAAAGGGAGAGGGGAGGGCACTTTTCAAAATAGCGTTTGTGACCCTCGCCGGCAGACAGCACTGTCTCCCTGGGGAGGTTCTGTAAAATTGGTGCAGTTGTCATTCTGTGTCAAGTGTTTGTTGTTTGGCGCTAACGAGATTAAAGCTGCATAACTTGCACGCCTTTCACTTAGCTCATGACGCCGGCTCTAACCGGGGGCCAGACAGGGCTTCGCGAGGGCTTAATGCTGATCAGCTGAGCCTCGGCTCTAGCCAGTTTAATCTGTTAAAACTGGCTCGAGAGTAATGGCAATTATGACACTTTAAGATGGCAAATCAGCTCCAAATCGGCAACAATCGATGCAGAAATACAAGATTAGGAGAAAGAAAATTTTAACTGAACGAGTATTCGAACTTAGCCACGTTCAAATAATAAGGTAATATGGTTAATCATATTTATTTTGAGGGCAAAAGGGGAATACAGTCCTGCTGGTTTGTCTCCAGGCAACCAGCTCTAGTGTGATAAAATGTAAATTCCTGCATTGCTTCGTCTTGACCGAGGTGCTAGACTCAGCGCTGCATGTGTGGGGGTGCTATTACTTTCATGGCCTTTGTAAGTTCAGGGGCATTTATTTTTGGAAAGCCAGGTGAATTTATTCCGCTTTTCTTACAAAGAGTCGGGCCAATGCCCATTCATGCTAGAATACCGTTAAAAGCAAAAAGCAGACAGCTCACTTTAATGCTGTTATAGTTTCATTTATTTTGTCTGTTGAAAGGGCACTCTACGGATTTTACACATGATTTTACTACCAGCCACGTTTAATAGGGTCAGTGTTAGAGAACACAGGCGTATTATGTATAAGGCTGCGGTTGAGTAAAATCGGAGAAAATAATCCAGACTTTGTCATTGTTGTTGTTTTGGTTTGAGCTTGAATAATGTGCGTGCGGAAGAGAAAGTCTCCGTTGTAACGTGAGGAAGATGTTGGATTCAGCGAGGCGGAGAGGGCCTCACCAAATATGCTGCCAAGTTGCATTATAAACAAAGGGAGGACCTGACATTTTTAAAGAACATTTTAGCTTCTGCTGCTTCGAATTTGCCGGATAAGTATTCCGATGCCATGGACGCGCAGTAGGACATTACTGCTGTAACCCTCCCGTTAGCGATTCGGCTCAACAGACGTGATGTTGTGGGCTTAAAGCGAGGCCCCAAGGTGCACAGCAGTGTCCTAATTTCTGTGGTATACTCTTTGTATACTGTATTAAATAGTATTTGATTTTTTTTTTATTTACACAAGGTATAAATATTACGTTAGCTCATCCACAGAAAGCAGCATTTGACTTTGGAATTCTACAATTTCCTTCAGGATAAACGAGGGTACAAGTATTTCATGGAAATAAGTCTCTCCAAACTGCACTTAGTCACAATACTTTAGTGGCCCGATACTTTGTTGCTTTTCAGCACTGCATAGTCCACACAGAGCATTTGGTTAATAACCTTTCACCTCCCAATAGCAGCCTTGGGCGTAAAGCCTGAGAACAGCTGCACCGTTGTTGACGCTTTGCAGAAGCTTGAAAAGACGATGCTTCAACTGCTGCAGACAACGTGAGTGGGGTCAGAGTCACAGAGACGACCTCAGCAGGCCAGACAGTCTGCGAGTCGATTAAATGTCAGCTCCTCAAACAAAGGTTGCTTTCAATTTACTCTTGTCAATCCGCCCCCTACTCTCACTCTGCTCCGACGGTCTCTTGGCTTTGACCATGGAGGGCAATTCTGAAGTCTGGTACACCGCTGACCTCATCCTGCTGCCCCGGCAACGCAGCTCCGAGGCCACGCCCTCCCACTTCCTGTCCAGCTCTGTGCCCTGGGAGCACCGGAGGTCTCTGGACCTTCCTCGGGTTTTTGTTCTGTCTTCTGTGTCAAAGGAGGCCCCGATTCTGTCTAAATCCAAGCCTCGTTTCGAGGTTGCGTGCTTGGAGCGGGATGAAGGAGACGTGGATTTGCGACGTGAGCGAAGAGGAGGCCGTGGTGGAGGGCGAGGAGGAGGGGAAGGAGAAGGAGGGATGGGATTTGAAGACGTTGTCCTCCTGCTGGGCATTCTGTAGCTTCCTCCTCCTCCTCCTCCTCCTTCCCTGTCTCTCCATCTGTTTCTGTCCTTACCTGAGGAAGAATAGGCTGCTTTAAAAAGAGACAACAAAAGACAGACAAAGGGAGACAAAGAAAATGACAAAGCACTCTCTGACACGGCAAACCATCCTCATGCAAGGAACACTCACAGAGAACACAAAGGAAATGTCAATTTGTTGCCAAAAGTCTGAATACTATAAACTGGAAAAAAAAAGAACATAGCTAAGCTTGAGCAGGATATCTTCATGCTGTTGTATGTTAATGTATAATAGACAGTACGATATATATAGTTATATTCTGTCAAATGTAATACACGGTCACACTCTGACCAGCCTGTTACCAACTGTTGCAACACCACGGATATGGCACGCACACTCAAACACACGCTGGGCCGGGAGGCAGCAGGAAACTAAGTGGATGTGACAGATATTCCCATGCTGCCTCTTGGCTATGACATCATGGGAAAGAGGGATAGATGGAGCGGACTGTGGGTGGACGTGTCCCTGTATGAAGAGACTGTGTCTCCATCTTTATACAGAATGCTGCCATCTACTGGCTGAGAGCAATCGTTTCATTTTCCTTTAAAATACTTGTGTTTTGTAAGACGCCAATGAATGAAATGAAAACGGGCTTTCATGCAGTAAACATTTGAAACATTCAATAGAAAAAAGGTGGAGACTCAATGTTTTTGGTTCCACTGTGGACTGTTCCTGCTGTGAAAAACTCTTAATAAAAGGAAATCCCAGGAATAGTTGAAAGATCTCGAAGATTTGAGTTTTTTATGCTGGAGTAGCTGAATGGACGACTGTGTGTCAATGCGTGTGACAATGTGTAATGTACACATCCTCTGTGTACACAAGTGTCCACTTAATGTCTGTAAGGTCTCCTTCTCTCCTGTGAAAGCTTTATTCACGGGACAAGTCACCTCTTTGATGTGTTTATGAACAAAAAAACTGTTCCGGTGTGAAGATAAAATGAAGTTGCTGCTCTTCTTTATCACTATAGGAGTACAACATAACAAGTGAGAGTATGATTACTTTGTTTTAGACAAATACCACTTGCCCCTTCTCAGCTGTTTTCTCCCGCTGTCCGTTATTGTCCTTATAGACCATTTTTAATTACTTCCACCAGCAGGTGGCGTCATTTGAGATGAGAAACCAAAACACTTGGGAGGCGATTATCTGGTTAAATTCACTTTCTCACTTTTTTCAGCTTGTGTGGACAGCATTTTTAAATTCCCTTAAAGCAGCTATCAGTGAACTCCACGAGTCCTGCAGCATGAAAACAAGCATTACGGATCCCTTTAACTGTTACTCTCGTTTTGTCTGCGCTGAAAAGAATGGATTTAAAAAAAAAATTCTATTTGACCAAATGCAGTTGTGGTCTCCATGAAGTTCATCTTGACCCTGATTTGGCAGATTTACACAATAGAAGAGACGACTCCAGAACTCCCTGTCCTCATAAATACAGATCCTAGTTTGTTTTATGTCCTTCCCTATTTTCTTAACATTGTTCTGGACACAGTCTTCTGGTGAATCCCACTAACACACATATATCACAGTCGGAAACCTGTGGGTGGTTTCTAGAGTGTGTGTGTGTGTGTTTCTGTTACTGCTCATGCCTGTTCTGCTGAATTATAAGGACTATAAATATAGTTTATAGTTATAAATATAGTTGCTGCTGTTGCAGCTCGTCAGTCGAGGAGGAAACACATGCTTGGATAATAACACCGAGAATGATTGTTCTGAAAACTGCAACAGGATAAGATCATCATGTGACGCAAAGGATACACAGAGATGTAGACACTCTGTGTTTGAAGGCGAGTGTGAGAGTGTAAAATAGAATCTGTAAGTGTCTGTGTGTGTGTGTGTGTGTGTGTGTGGAAAATGAAAACACAGAAGCCGGTGTTGTTTGGGGGCTACCAGAGACCAGCATGACAAAGCTTGCCTAACAAGGCGTTGAGGAGAGGGGAACCCATGCATAGCTAATGGCCCAGTACCCCCAAAAGCCTTTGTACCCCAAAACAAAAGCCTTGTGCTGGAGAGACACAAGCACACAGAGAGGAGGCAATAGAGAGAGGAGAGGAATATCAAGTAAGATCAATTGGAGAGAGGTCGTACGTAACGCAGTGAGGAGGACAGTAAATCAGGTATTATGGAAAGTTTTGAGAAGTGATCAAAGATGCTGCTCACATGAGGCTCCACAGAGAAAGGAATCCATCTTTAAAACATTTATTTGATCTATTTACAGACAGTACAGTCAACTGACGAGAAGAGAGGATAATTGATTAATAATTTCCGTTGTGGCACAACTGAAGAAACAGCATGTCTGTATTGTAACTCAAAGATGACTACAGCAAGACGGGGTTTTATATACAAATCAATCCTTCTAGCTGATGGATTGTAAAAATGAAAAGGACGTTCTTGACAATGTGCTACAGGATGATAAAGTAGGAGGGAAACCTTTAAAAAGTGAAACGTTTTGACACTGCTGGTCCAATCTTTTCTTGCAAGGACGGACGGTTCAGAACACTGTTGAATTTCTTGAATACGGAAGGAATTGAACAAAAAGACCGCTGATGTCGTGTGATGCCGTGTGATGCAGCGCAACGTAAAAAAAAATGAGCTGAAAAGGGGAAAGCAGACGATTCTGGATCATTTTGTTGAAGAGCGACATTGACTGTGTGCGCACCCGCTGCTCTCTGATTTCACGGGCGACACGAGAAATGCCTGAGGTGAGAGATCAGTGGTGGAAACACAGAACGTACTGTGATCAAGTGGACAAAGAAACAGCTGAGCAAACGTGTGCGTTCGTGGTACTGTAGCATATGTTTGTATTCATGGTGTCTGACCCACTGCGTTGCC